TATTCATGTGACCAGCTAAATACTTTCTAATCTATGACTCCTATTTATAGGCTGATTCATCTCATTTTAATCAATAACCCATGTCTAAATAATTGATTTAATTTCATATTATAACCCCCTTTCAAATGGTTGGCTTCATTTAAGTTTTATAGCCTCCATCCAAATGACTGAAATCATTTGAATTTTATAGCTGCTATCCAAATGACTAGCTTCATTTGAATTTTATAATCCTTATTTAAATATCTAGCTTTATATCATTTCCAACAATAGTCCCTTCTCATGCAGTTAAATTAAAATCTTATAGTATAAGGTCCACCTTTATGGTTAATGTACAATTCATATTTTTTTTTTGGATTCAATTTACATATTGGTTACCATCTTTATGATAAATCATAATTATATATTGGTTAAGAACATTACAATTAAATATAATTACATATTGGTTATTGTCATTATGGTCAGTTATAATTTAAATATTAGCTATTACCATTGTGGTTGATCATAAATAAATATTGATTACTACTATTAAAGTCAAATATAACATTTTAATTATCATCATTATGATTGAATAAATTTTACATATTACTTTTCAACTTGGTAAGCATAGCTTTTCAAAATGTATAATTGTATAACATCCATATGATTTTCATTGCATTCTACTATTATTAAAGTATTTTAAATAATTAAAGAGGCAACTAAGTGATCATTACCTTAAGCTCCTACTTTACATACTCTTGAGAAGTTGAGTTTCACTTCGAACACTTCTTCTACAACTCTCAAATTATAACAATTTATGTTCTTTTAACTAAATATACTTCTAATTATTTGTTTAACTTTCAACTTAGCCCCACACATAATTATCAATTTCATATTCAAGAAGACAATTTAGCATCTCACTACTACTACACATAATTAAAGTATTTTATGAATGCTCATTAATTTAATTAAAATTCCAACCTTGAAGTTTCCATTATTCTATGATTTCATTAAATTTCTATACTCATAACAACCATTATTTAATATTCATCGAATTAAAACTCAACCATAAAAATCTTCATTCATCTCAACATTCCAATTAATATCCAAACACATTATAAATATCAATCAATATTATGATTTATAAGTATTTATGCCATCAAAATATTCCTCAGACTTTTATATTTTCAAGTTTTAATTTAATGTCAATACATTACAAACCAATAATTAATATTCACATTATTAATTTAGGATTTCAACATAGAAATTTCATACTTTTACAATTCCAACCCAATGCTCAAACAGTCAAATATATTCAACATGCAAAATTTTAACACTTGTGTAATTTCATTTTCATGTCTCATAGCTACACACATAACAATCAACCCTACACCATTTACACTTAAAATCAGACATGAAAAATCACAACCATATAAGTTAATCAAAAATTAATATCAATTCTTTAAAATTCTCAAAACTAAATTTCAGCCGCTTCTAAGTACATATCTTTAGATTATCAAATTTCTTCAATTATTTCTCACTTCATACATTCTCAAACACTAAATAACCAAATATTTAGTCAATAAACATCTCAACCACAACAAACCTAGGATTCCACATCCCTTTATTAAAAAAAAAAACATTTTATATGTATGCAATCATGCAATAAATTACAAGTTTAAACATTCCTATACCATTAGGATATCTAAAACTAATATAATTTAATCATATTTTTCAAATCTTCTAAAATTTCCTATATGGCTAGCTACTATAGAGTTTCCATCACTATAATTAATTTCCAAATACTCAATTTCTCCAAAACTTAACAATCATGTCTTATTTATCATAATTAGATTTACAATCATTTTCATAGTTTCTCAAACAGATAATGTGCATTTAACTAACCCATCCATTACATAAACACATACATACACAACTTTCCTAAAACATAACAAATCATGGTTCACACCTTGAAAAACTAATTTACAATTATCATGATCAAGTTTAAGCAACCTTAACATCATTATAACATCAAAACTTATATAATTCCACTAATTTCTATACTTCTTTTCCCCCATAATTCACAACCATAACCAATACCATATAGTTTATTATACACACCAACATCATCATACCAATCAAGTTTTTTTTTAAAAAAAAACATTATTTAAAATGCCAACAATCCATCCAATTTAGCTATTTTTTCATAATTCCATCATGTAACAATAATAATAAAAAACTCTCAGAAATCCCTATTGAAATATTCAACACGAACCTCAATTATTCTTTAACATCATTGAAATGTCAAAATAAAAAAAACCTAAGTATACTTTCAATGAACCACGACAAACATGCAAACCACATCTCCATCACTAATACATTTGAACAATTTACTATTTTTCTTTTAAATTCACAAAAACCCTAAACTTCAAAGATTTAGGGGTATTTTTCTAGGTGTTAATTAGCCAAATTAAACCATTTTTATAACATACCATTAATAAAATTATCCCAAATCAACATTTCAATACAAAAATATCATAAACCTTCTAAATTTGAGGATTTTCAATCCTTAAGCAAAACAAGAGTAAAAATAGAATCAATGGTAAAAGAATATCTTACCTTACTAATTAACCCAAAATCAATATCATTACTTTTTTTCCTTTAGGCGAACAAACTTCGAACTTCGCTCTCTCTTTCTCCTGAGTTTCTTTTCTAATTTGTTTGGTTTTCATTAGTCAAACTCACTTAGGTTTCAATCCCTGTGCCACTGCAAATGAGAGATTTTGAAGAAAATTATGAAGAAAAAGAAAAAAAAAACTCGAGCTTTGTTCGTCCTCCAAATCATCAATTCAAGCTTAAAAAGGGAGAGGAGATTTTGTTTTTATTTATGAAAATGTTACTTATTTATGTTTTCTGTTATATCCCTATTTGTTGGTATTTTTAATGTATATAAAATTTTTATTATTTTGTTTAGATTTCGTACCCAAAAACTTTCAACTAGCCATAAAGAAATTTTTTTTATAATTTATTATTTTTTTAGTTATAAATTCATTATTAAGAGCGGGTGTGCCCCACTGTTAATATTTGCACGCACAAATTTATTCTTTAATTTACTCAAGTTTCTCATCCATTTGCTGAGAATTTTCACTTGTAATTACAAATTTTTTTTAATAATTATTATTTTCTAGTTGGGGATTACCTGAACACTGGTTTAAGAATTTATACTTTCTAATGGAATCTTTGACAAAAATTTGTTTCTAATTAAAAAATACTTCTGAAATTAGATGCTCTGATTGCGTTATTGCAAATATTTATTAATTGCTTTCGGGTGCGGTATGTGATTGATTCTAGCTCCTTTAGTATGGCATCATATATGCATCTTTGCATGGTGAGCACGTGGCTGATTTTCAGACGTTATGGAATCCAAAACTTTTGCTGGTTATTATCAACACGATGAAAAGAGAAAGAGAAACACCGGTACGTGGATGGTGTTTTTGCTGAATCCAAATAACCCCTCGCTACCATGTATAGTTTGTCATTTATATATTATTATTTTTTTATTTGATACAAGTAGTGTAGCTTTCTTCTTCTTTTCTTCAAAAAAAAAAAAAAACTACAATCCCAAATAATTTTTAGGGAATGGACATATATATTGACACCAAATTATAAAAAGAGTTAGATATGAATGATGTTAAGATATTATTTTTTATTGTGGAATAGTTGTTTTTAAAAGTATTTTTGGTTTAGAAATTTATAAAAATAATATTTTTTAATATTTTTTTATTTTTGATATCAACCTATAAAAACAAATTAAGAAGGTAAAAAATAATTAATTTTAAATAAAAAATTTAAATTTTTATAAAATACTGATTGAGTTTAAATGACGCTAAATCATAATCTTCATGGTAATAAACAGTATGTTTCTTTGATTTAAAAAAAATAAAATCTGGTGTTGATTTTCCCCTTGTAAATACTCTTGTTACACTCGCACAGTGGTTTCTGGTAGGAGCATCACACCCAAGACACAAATAGCACCAAGAAGCCCTGGAATTGGCGCGCAATGAAGCCAAGACACAAGACACCTATGTAGTGGTTCATCTCTGTCTCCCTCTTTCAAATTCAAAAAAACGACGAGTCCTGTCTTTGAGAAAGAAGAGAGAGAAGGGGGCGTTGTTTTTTTGTACATAGAAAGACGGAGTCCAAAAAACGCCATTGATTTCTCACGCAGTAATCAGAGCTTTTGCAACACCTGTTTTCTCTTCACCCTCCATTCGTCAACCTTTTCTTGGCCACTCCCTAACCACCACCACCACCACCCCTCCCTCTTTATCGCATTTTTATTCTTTTCCACCCTCCATACTCCACTCTCTTTTCTCAATATTAACCCTAGATAGCTACTAACCAAAGTATCTTAACTCTAGTTAATTCTACATCTACAAGACTACAAGACCATTATGTCACACTAAGAGATCGATCCCTAAGAAGCAACCATGAATCCGCTTTGCACATTTGTCACCATAACCACCTCAATGTACAGACTAAACCCTAACCCTACCTTGTTCAGTTTAGCGACTCTCACCAGCCAGGCCCATGTTACTTGTTTCAATATTTTGAAAATTAAGTATAATAAAGATTGGTAATGGGAACGAAAGATCCGAGTGAGAGCATGAATGAAAGAAACACAAATGGCATAAAAACCAGGCAGTGAAATCAATACAAAAACCCTTACTGCTAAAAATAGAAAAGACCCAGCTCTACTTTTTCTTGATGATCTCTTAATTTAAACACTCACGGCATACAAGAAAGTCAAGAAAACCCCCCATTTCGTGACTGCCGAGCGTCGATCACCGGTAGTTTCGATCTGCGCAGCTACACAGTGAGAGAGGCAGTCACAATCTCTCTCACTGAAATCTAGCTAAAGCACACCCTCACTATTCACTGGCTACTAGCACTCTTTTCCTTTTTATCTTTTTATTAAAAAGAAATAGAAATTAGAAAGAAAAAAAAAAACCTGTTAGCTAATGATGATGCACCAAGGGTTGGTTCATGAGAAACCCGAGGCCTGTGCTTGGATGGCAGGTGGAGAAGGTGTCACTGAGGAGGGGGACAATAAGCAGACTCCCAATATTGAAGGGGGCTCGGATCTTGTTATTGAAGGGTCGAACCCTGATCACCTTGCTGGTTCTATGGTGGGTTTTGAGATTAAAAGGAAGAAAAGGATGCCCAGACAGAGGAGATCATCTTCTACTATCAATCACCTTCTCTCCTTTTCTGCTAATGCTTCCTGCTCTAACACCACTAACTTGGACGTGCCCACCTTCTCTCTTCAGGACCCTTCTTACCTCCCCGCACGTGTGAGAAGCTTTTCCTTTTTATATATAGTTTTAATATATATTGAATCAACTTAACTGTCATATGCCATTATCATAAATTGTGTTGGATTTCCTACAACTTTTGACCTATTTGGACAGCTTGATGTTGTGTTGCTCAAGGTAAGCTTACGCTAAGTGGTTCGTTTCTGTTCTTTCATCCATATTCGATTAAACTTTAATTTTTGTTGGAAATTGCTATCCCATTTTGTTTGACTGTGAACTAGCTATGATGTTTTTGCCCCCAAGACGTGCTTTTTTCAACAACAACTGAACGGATTTGATATGTGATAGGGTTTGAGAATCTTGAGGCTAATCATACGCTAGACACGAGTTTTCTCTTTAATATAAATAGAACTTCCCATTAAGAAAATAAAATTAGAATTGAAGAATTATTATAGGAAATAAAACTAGTTTGATTTTCTTGGTTGAAAGGGAAACCAAGATCTGTAAGTGATCGATTGATGTTTTATGCATTCCAATTATTTGCCTTCTCAAAATCATGGGATGGTGTGGAAAATTGAAATAAAGTGACTGATATGTATATGACTCCATAGAGCTGCTTCATGTGTCTACTGCATGAGCAAAACAAGTGCCATGATTTTGGGGAATTTTGCGGCGGCCGGTGTTGTCAGAACTCTTAATTTATAGAACTGATAGGTTACTGAGCTGTTTCATTTATTCCGGCAGCATGTAAATTAACATTCATGGTCTCATAAGGTAAAATATCTTGCAAGCTAACTGTTCTTCTACCATTAGTTTGTAATCCTTATTATCTACCGGTCGTTGGCGGAGTAATTCAGTCGAGATTCGTTTTCCCTAACTTCCAGTTTGAATTTGCTTGTCATTTATTTTTGAATGTGGTAGAACCAAATGCATAAAGTGTTTGATGTTTTGCAATTTTGTCAATTGCAAGACACCGAGACACATGCATGGTGAAGCATTGCCACATGTATTTCCTATATATTAATCTTGCTTTGGTTTGAGCTACTCACATGTTGGACAAATCAACCTTGTTGTTTACTTTGTATTTCTCAGTTACAATTTAGACTGATGATGTGATGAATTTTCTTAAATTATTGACGATTCCAAATGATCTTATGCCATAGGCCATTGATCCAAGGAGACTGAGATTCCTTTTCCAAAAGGAACTTAAGAACAGTGATGTAAGCTCTCTGAGGAGAATGATACTCCCAAAGGTCTAATTAATACTGTATTCTGAATTTCCTTTTCGTCAAGATTCATATATTTTGGACTTTGTCTTTTCATTATCAATATATCTCCATTGTGCAACAATTTAATCTGTGACTTTCTTTCCTGGTGGAACCTTTTTTTTATTCCGATGGCCCGATATTTCAGAAAGCAGCCGAGGCACACCTCCCTGCTCTTGAGTCTAAGGAGGGGATTTTTATCAGGATGGATGACTTAGATGGTCTACATGCTTGGAGCTTCAAGTACAGGTACAAGTTCCCATTCCCTTTAAATGACAGATTGACATCGTACATTTATATATATATATATATATAGTCATTTGAACATGGAAGTTGTGTAGAGCTTCAAACAAGAACTTGATCAAAACATACTTGCTGGACTCGTGAATTTAACTTTACTTTTTGTAAGCAGGTACTGGCCTAATAACAATAGTCGAATGTATGTGCTTGAAAACACTGGTACAACCTCGATTGCCTTGTAAACTTCCCCTTTCAATTTGTTTTTCCATAGAGCGATAAATCACCAATCTTGTATCAAATTCTCGCAGGGGACTTCGTTAGCGCTCATGGATTAGAGTTAGGAGACTTCATTATGGTATACCAAGATAATCAAAGTCAGAACTATGTATGCTGCTATTCTAAACCTTTAGATTGATGGTCACATTACGATTAGAAAGCATTTTAGCTATTCTTGAATGCTAATAGCTACATGTTCTTGATGTTTTCTCAGATCATCCAAGCTAAGAAGGCCTCGGACCAAAATGTATATACTGATATAGCTAGAAATGCTGTCAATGACTTTGTTGCTCACGATTATGAAGTCAGCAAACTCAGCTCCTTTTATGTGAACTATCCTGTGGTTGACAACGCAGGCTTGTCGTTTATCTATGACACCACTGCCTTCTCAAATGACTCACCCCTTGATTTTTTGGGTGGATCAATGACTAATTTCTCAAGGATTGGGAATCTGGAAAGCTTCGGATCTGTCGAGAACTTGTTTCTGGATGACTTCTATTAGTTTTCTTTGTAAAAAAGATAGGGTAGTGCATTTTGTTAAACAACAGAGCGTTACCTGAAATCAAGGATGACTTCATGTTGTTCTAAGAAGTGCACTTCTTCCAGTATATGTAATAATAAAGATGGTAGGCAGTCTTGAACTTGACAGGTCCTAGTTGCACCGACAGTATTGCCATCTAGAATTATGATCAATGTGTGATAAGTTAGCTTTTGCTCTGGCTGTACTTAGTTTCTAGCATTGTTAAAGCTTTTGTTCGTTACCAATCTAAGTGTTGTGCTTAGTTGAGTTGGAAAAAATAAGGTTAAGTAGATGTTTAAGAAACCATGGTTTTAAGAAATCAGTACTCTTCAAAGCTAAGATTTGGTGCCAAACCATGGCTTTGAAGACGCAATTCCAAACAGAATTGAAATTTTTAGGCTAACCATAGTAGAATTAAACAATTTCATTACTGTCTTTTTTACCAACCAAACAGCTAGCTCTGATCATCATCATCATCATCATGTCCGCTCCTACTCGCTACAAATCCTGCGCGAGAGGGGAATTTAGTAAAGGTTATGAACTGCTGCGAATTCGCAAATGGATCATTTTTCCGTCTTCTCAGAGAACGAGGTTTGCGTTATGCGCCTGTAATAACGAGCAGTCAAGTTCAATCTTCTGAATGTTCTCCGCCGTTACATGCTACGGCCTGGTGTCGGGTCGAATTCGAATTTACAAGATGCATCTACCAGAGTTCCGAAACATGGTCTCAAGTAGAACTGTTGAAGCTCCTTGTTCGTTTAATGAGGATACTTTTCTTCGTGAGAAATCGGTGGAGACGTTGATTTCCATGGGAGTCCCACTAACCAAACAAACAGAGATATCATCAGCGATTGTGTCAGAAAAGCGTCGTCTGCTCACAAGGGGTTGCCGCATTGGGCGTATTATTTCTGTTGTGGTTGATGTCGAGACCATAGTAGATCAAGAATGTGTCTGCCATGACCGTATTGTGCGGAATGAGATTTGCAGGGCCATGAAGGAAGCAAGGCAGCAACAACTTAATCCTAATCACTATTGGAGAACTGGCATTGAAGGATTGGAGAAACCAGTAATACAAGAAGGAGATATTATATCTCATTAATCGTAAGGATACCAGCGGTATGTACGGAAGAATTAAAGCTTGGTAAATCTGTTCAGATGCCTTGTTCTCGGGTTTATGTTGAATTAAACTCAATCTAGAAGGTTAAGGAAAGCATTTATCAACTGTCATTGTTCAATCGTTCAACTACCAATCACTAGCCGTCTTCATACTTAAAGATTGAATTTTCTTGTTTTGAATTCGTATATAAATAGGTAGCTAAGTTTATGTAATTAAGTGTAAAGAAATTTTAGAGAAACATAGAAAGAAAGAGAGAGGGTGTGTATTCAAAGCTTTTGTTCTTGAAATAAAGAGTATGTTTTATCCCTTTTAAGTGTTTTAAAGCCACCACCAGTGGTTTCTCCCACCAACAATTGGTATCAGAACCTCGTTCATCAGAAAACAAAGGTATTTTGGGATATATCTAAATTTTTAAAGTTGTCAAAAATAAGTTTTGATCATTCCACAATGTAGAGTTCATCCATACGAACTTATTGGTGCAAAAATTAGCCTCATCAGAGTAAGCGGTAGCCCACACGCGCCGCCTGAAGATTCTGTATTGTCGCCCACACTCATCCCACGTGCGCTAGAGGTTGAAGACGAATGAGTCACACGCGCGCCATATTCATGCCGAGTAGAGCTGTGAGCCGAGCCACCAGCAAAGCGAAGCCAACAACAACCGAGCCGACAGAATATTCCCCAGAATATTCCCGGTTCAACTCTAGCAAATCGCCTGATGTATATAATTGGTTTTTTGACCGGTTCACCCTATTTCTAACTCATTTTCTACAAAGTCAAACCGGTTCCCTACTATTTAAACCATTTCGGATCGATTTACAGTGTCCGTTTGGCCAAATTCAACTCATAGAAGGAGATATAGTCATTCCAAGAGCAAAATAACTATAAATGTCATAATTGCAATCAATTTGGACACTATAGCACTAAATGTCAAAGGAAAGCACCATTAGAGGTATGTGAGCATGCTAATTATGCAGAAGAGGATGCCAACAACAGAGGAGCAGCTGTATTATTTTTCCAACAAGGACTCGACAAGAATCAAGAGAATATTTGGTATCTTGATTCTGGAGCCAGCAATCATATGTATGGCTAACGAGATCTATTTGGTGATTTTGATGAGACCATACAAGGTCTAGTCACCTTTGGAGATACCTCAAAAGTTCCATTCAAAGGTAAAGGCAATATCTCAATCAAGTTAAAGAATGACGATCAAAGCTACATCGCCGATGTCTACTATGTCCCAGCCATAAAGCAGAACTTAGTGAGCATAGGTCAACTTCTGGAGAAAGTTTATACACTTTTCATGAAGAATTGTCATTTGACAATTACAGACAACAATAGAGATTAATTGCTTATGTGAAAATGTCCAAGAATATGATGTTTTCTTTAAACATCCAATATGATGCAGCAAAGTGTTTGAGTGTCATCACCAACAGTGAAGAATGGCTTTGGCACCTGAGGTTTGGACATCTGAATTTCACAAGTCTGAAGATGCTAGGAAGCAAGAAGATGGTCAAAGGCATGCCTCACATTGATCATCCAAAAGAAGTATGTGAGAATTGTGTCCTCAGCAAACATCACAGATCCAGTTTTGCCAAAGAAGTCAATGGGAAAACAAAAAAACCACTGGAGTTAGTGCACACAGATATGTGTGGTCCTATAAAGCCTATGTCGATTGGACAAAATAGGTACTTCCTTACTTTCATTGATGATTTTATTAGAAAGACCTGGATATACTTTCTAAAGAGGAAGTCAGAAGTGTTCAATTGTTTTAAAGATTTTAAAGCAATTATTGAGAAGCAAAGTGACTATAAGATCAGAACCGTGAGATCTGATCAAGGTGGAGAATATACAGTAAATGACTTTGAAGCCTTTTATACATAACAAGGCATCAGACATCAAACAACACCAGCTTATACACCACAGCTGAATGGTGTAGCTGAGAGAAAGAATCGAATGATTCTTGACATGGCAAAAAGTCTGCTCAAAGAAAAGAAACTGCCCAAGCAATACTAGGCTAAAGCTGTATCATGTACAGTGTATCTACTGAATCACTGCCTAACCAGAAGTTTACAAGTTATCACTCCACAAGAAGCGTGGAGTAGTCACAAACCAAGTGTTACTCATCTTTGAGTCTTTGGTTGTGTGGCATATGCAAAGATCCTAGATGTAAGAAGGACCAAACTCGATGATAAAATAGAGAAATGCATCTTTGTTGGATACGGTGAGTGATTAGTACTTAAAAGTGTCTAGGGACTAGTAATAAGCTGGTTGGGGGGTGTGATTAGTACTTAAAAGTGCATTTTTATCATGGTTTTATATCATCATTTTGCACTTGAAGTATCAATAACTCCTTAACTAAAATATGTTTTATAATAATGTATCTAATAATATAAGATACCTATAATTTGTGGTAAATGTCTATTTTTAATGCAGGCCTATCACATAAATGAAAGGATTGATTGATGACTTAAAGAACTTAAATTGCAAGGATAA